AAAAAAAAAAAACTATATACTAGAGAGCGCTCAAGCCATTAGTTGGAAATGAGATGATGAAGCAACAACAAATAATCCTTTAGAGAATGCCAAAACAATGAAACCAACAAAGGGGCCTTATTACAGATAGGAAGAAACGAAAATAAACTTTTAGCAGAACTAAGAACTTGACCCTGCAACTTACTCTGCCGTGAATGAAAAGGGAGAAAATATATTTATATRAAGTCATAAGTTTACCTCGTGTTTCCTTGGATCGAAAATGGAAATGTTGCTTTTAAAGATTGGATTGAATGGTAGTGAGATATCACCGATGATAATGGCAGAGGGTGAATGATGGGTTCAACCATTGTACACATCACTCATTCTCTGATGTGTACAGCTTTGGGATATTTCTTTTGGAGCTCATAACAGGACAAGAGACATTAAAGATCAATTCCTTGGGATCCCATGAAAGCTTGATGCAGTGGGTAAAGAAGCATCACCTATGTACCTTTTCATTTTTTCCTTAAACAAAATTGTTCAGTGTTTGGTGGTAGAAATCTAGAATAAACACTATAATGATGTAGAGAACATATTAAAATTTAAAACTCCAAGCAAACAAGACTACCAGAAACCAACACATTGTATTACCTCTTACAACACTGTCCTTAACATTTATACTTTTCCATATCCTGAGTATCTTCATTTCCCCTATCCTTGTATATAGTTGATGTGAGTCTTTCCCTTTGTTTGATCAACTAACTATGGGTTTATTTGTTAGGGTAGGAGAATCAAGAACACTCTCTGAAATGAGTGACGTCTACAGCTTTGGGATATTTCTTTTRGAGCTCATAACAGGACAAGAGACATTAAAGATCAATTCCTTGGGATCCCATGAAAGTTTGATGTAGTGGGTAAAGAAGCATCCCCTATGTGCTTTTTCAGTTTTTTCCTTAAACAAATTTGTTCTGTGTTTGGTGGTAGAAATCTAGAATAAACACTATAGTGATGTAGAGAGTATATTAAATTTTAAAACTCCAATCAAACAAGACTACCAAAATTCTACACATTGTATTACCTCTTACAGCACCGTCCTTGACATCTAAATGCATTCCCAAGTAATACATGCTTGGAATTGGAGTTTGGAAAACGATTTGCTTCATTGATATGTTTAAATCGTTTTRTTCTAGAGTTGAGACAATTGTTGCTAGTCCTTGTAAAGTTGTTTTTCCATCACCATTTAAGAATTGATCCCAATAAAAAAAAGCATAAATTTTCACATTGCTATTATTCAGCAGCCAAAGTCAAGTTAGGTTCTCTTTTTGGTCAGCTAAAAAATTTGTATATTTATTTATAGCATATTTGCATGCAACCTATTTATTCTTATAAAATATTCATATACAGTCTTTTATTCTTTGCTTCCTTACTATTTAAGTCCCCTCTTTGTGAAGGTAAAATCATGCCTGCATTCAAATAATTTTGTGGACCATCGGCTGCTACCAGTTGTTTCACTTTAGACCAACATGGTTATGTTGGAGCTTGAACGAATACTAGCAAATGAGATGACATTGACAACAATCATGGATGACGGAATTGCTACAATTACTCTAGGGAGCCAACTATTTACTTCAGGGTGAAATTAAAATGAACAGTTCCAAGTGTTTGTTTTTCAGAGGACTAAAGCCTAAGACTGTAATGTAGTCATTTTACCTATAGGCTAGCACTAGTTTAATTTCCCCCTTGAACATGTGGTGTGGGAGCACCGTATGTGTCTCAGCCTAGTGTAGTTCACATTGGTTGTATCATTGTATGCACAAGCTGAGATGGAATGACTCACGGCTCATCGTAGTATTTGTGTCGGAGGTCTCAATGACCAGATCAGCTTATCTCCGAACCCGTTTACCTTCAGATGCAGCTGAGAGGGGTGAACATGTGGTATAGGAGCACTATGTGCATCCCAACCTAGTGTAGTCCACAATGGTTGTATCATTGTATGCACAGACCGAAATGGAATGACTTACGGCTCATCGTAGTGTCTATGCCAAAGGTCTCAATGACCAGATCAGCCTATCTCCGGGCACGTTCACCTTTGGACGCGACTGAGAGAGGTAAATGTGTGGTGTGAGAGCATTGTATGCATCCCAGCCTAGTGTAGTCCACATTGATTGTATCATTGTATGTGTAGACCAAGATGGGATGACTCATGGCTCGTCGTAGTGTTTGTGTAGGAA